ATGCTCGCAGCCTGCAATTTCCCGAAGTTTATTACACTTTCCACTGGGGCTGGAGAGGCAGCTCAGTGGTTAAAATCACTGGCTGCTCTTGCAGAGGTCCAGGGTTCAGCTATCAGCACCCACACGGCAGCCTACAGCTGTATATGTAACTCTGCTTCCAGAGGACCCGATGACCTCTTCTGGTCTTCTTGAGCACCAGGCATTCATGTAATACACATATACACACACAAGCAAGCATTTATACACGTAAAATAAAAATAAATAAATCAAACCAGGGAAATACTTTCTCACACAGGCACTCATGTGTGGACAGAACGGGTCTGAGACGCTCTGAACAGATCATTGCCAAGGCGAGGGAGCTTGGATCTGCTGGATAATCCTTGTTCCTCTCCCTCCAACATGATGGCTTAATGGCCTGATCCGGGGCCTCCCATGTGGCAAGGCTTAGGCTGTGTAACTATATTACTTTGTTAGATACTGGATTTGTAGAAACTTATCAGATATGCAGAGCTGGTATTCCTCAAAGCCCTGAGGAAACATAACCCCTTTGATATCTCTACTGGGTGACTAAGGAGACTTCCTCCTCTTTGGCTTGTCAGTCAACTATGATAAAGTAGTTGAAACTCACCTAGGTGAGCACTGGCTGTGAGAGGCTTCTCTGGGAACCCCCTACCTTCCTTGTAGGCCAACCTTGAGATCTTACCACACCAGTCAGTTTTGCATCCTTTGCAGAGCCTCACACAGGCCAGAAAGGATGAAATAAATGGATAAGTTTCATCCTCTGCTCCTGCTACAGACAGTCAGGTTGCTCTGCGCTCATACTTGCTGATCTATGAGAAGGGGGAAGGCATCCATTGTGCAGACAGAGGAAGAGGAGCCAGTATGACTGGACACATGGAGCTTGGCAGTTACATGCACAAGTGTACAACTCATGCCAGGGCTTGGGATAGGACTACTAATCTGCTGGCTATTGAAGGGTGTCTCTGTGCCACAGACGTAGGGAAAGCAGTAAGAAAAGAGCCAAGAAGGCTCTTTAACCTCTGGCTCAGAGGTTAAGAGCACTGGCTGCTCTTCCAGAGGTTCTGAGTTCAATTCCCAGCAACCACATGGTGATTCACAACCATCAATAATGAGATCTGGTGCCCTCTTCTGGGGTTTAGGCATATATGCAGTCAGAACACTGAATACATAATAAATAAATCTTAGAAAGAAAGAAAACAGGGAATAAAGTGAGAAAAGCCCCCCCCCCCCCCGAAAGTGCTTTTGTAGCAGCAGTTTGAAAAGCTGCCATGGAATCAGGTAGAAGAGACAAGAAGAGAACCTGGTAGCACTGTACATACAGAGAGAAGTGTATGCTTGGGGAGGAGGGTAAGATTATCTCAGGAGCTGTGAAGGACATGCCCCAAGGGGGAAAGACAAGTTACCAAATCTCACAAACTAGTGCATAGGAGCTGAGGGACCTCAGACAGCAGGACCCCGCCAGGGCCCAGTTCCAGGATTGAACCACTGCTGTGCGCCCCCAGCACGGGCAGTGGCTGCTAGGTTCCTGTCACTCATCCGTCTTCCTTCCCTGCCTCTCTTTTCCTCTTGGGTCCATTCCTTTCTCAGTCTAGCCTTTAGCCCTCTTCCTCGATAGTAACCTTGTGTTAAGCTTGTAAAGGCCACCTAATGTGCTGGCTTTTGAAGGATCACCCCATTCTCAGAGTGAGCAAAATGTACGCTGACCATGATCATTTTTACACATGGTCTTTCTGGTGACGGCAGGAGCTTCGAATCTGCATGACCAGCATCTCACGTGGGCATGCCTAAAGGCCAGCACATGGTTTGTTCATTTGTTGTGTGTGTTTTGTTTTAGAATGCTCAATTTGGGGACAAGAAAATGACAAGTCTTAGGACCACAGGGTTTCTCTGGAACCTAGGGTTACAGTCTAAAGATCAGAGACACTGTTAACGCCCTGGGTTCACCATCCTCCCATGATGAAAACCATCAGCTGCTGTAGCTCACTGAGTCCCCTCTGCCAAGGACCCAGCACAGACTCGAAAGCTCTCCTGTGGGAGCCGCTGAAAGGGCCCTGGGAGACTGCAGCAGCAGAAAGAGGCCCAGAGCGTCGCATCGACAGTGTCCTTGTGGGAGTTCGAGTTAAGTTCACGGCAATTTAAAGAACCACGTGAAATGCCCGCACAGCGTGCTAAAGCACATCTATTACCCAACTATTGTGAACACTAACCAAACTGAAGCCGGTGCCTGGAAGAGGTGATGAGGTTGTTGGTGATGGGAACAGTGGTTAATGGGAACTGGACACTTTCCATCTTACATAGATTATTTCACTGAAATCTCACACATCCCCTTTACCGATGACGAAAACAAATTCAGGGATATACAGAGACTTGCCTAAGCTTGCGAGAGCAGCTGGCTTAGTGGCTCCAGCCCCTGCCCTCTCTCCTGGCACCTCACCAGGATTTTCATAGTTTGTGAGCTGGAGTTTGTCATGTACCAGGTTCCAAGAGGTCCTCTTCTGGGTTGTAGCCTGCTTCTTCTCACTGGGTCCTGATGTGGTGGTCGGGGAGGAGAAGGCTCTCAGGGGCCCCTTATCTGATGGCACTAACTGTGTTCATCAGGGCTCGCTCCACCCTCTTGATCTAATTACCTCCCAGAGGACCACACCTCCAACCGTGTGGTACAGTGGGTCAGGGTTTCACTGGGTGAAAACATTGGATGCTCCGGAAGGGGACACTCTGTCTTCACTGTCCCCTGGCTCCGTGTTGTGTCTATGGGATTCCTAAATATATGTGGTGTGTGTGTGTGTGTGTGTGTGTGTGTGTGTGTGTGTGTGTGTGTGTGTGTGTGTTTTGAGACAGGGTTACTCTGTATAACAGCCCTGGCTGTCCTGGAACTCACTTTGTAGATCAGAGTGGCTTCGAACTCACAGATATCCACCTGCCTCTGCCCTTCAAGTGCTAGGTTTAAAGGTGTGCACTACCACACCCGGCTGGAATTCCGATTGCTTTCTCCTAGACTAGACTTTCAACTGTGGGTGTCAACGTATGAGTGTCAGTGACTGAATGAAGGGGTCTTGAAAATTTTATAAATAAAAGGCAAGAATAAAAGATTTCTGGACAACGAGCAACCAAAAATTAACTCAAAATTAAATGCGTAATGAATCAGGTTTCTGGCAGCACCCACCCGTGTGGCAGTGTGTGGCATCCCTATAGCCTTGGTTCTGAACAAATAGTGTGCACTTTGCACCGTGCATGCCTCCATGTCTGCAAAGCCAGGGAACTTTGCTTGAAAAACCTATGCTCAGATTCCAGGCTATATATGCTATGAACCGCGGTGTGTTTACTATATAGACAAAGTTTCCTGTTCCTGTAGGTACATAGTGGCTTAGTCAATATTTTCTTACTGTCCTTCCTCAGCATGTAAGTATCTGATAATACACCTTTGAATTCTATTGTGATAGAATGTGTAAGTTTTTAAAATTGCTGTTTGAGGCTGGAGAGATGGATCAGTGGTTAAGAGCACTTGCTGCTCCTGCAGAGTCTGGTCCCCAGAACCCACAATGGGTGGCTTACAGCTGCCTGAACTCCACCAGCACCAGGGGCTCCAATGCCCTCTTCTGACCTCCAATGACCACTATGCACATATACGTGTGTGAGTGCACTTGCACACACACACATACATACTGTGTGTGTACATATACATAATTAAAAAATAAAAATAATCTTTAAATGTTCGATGTTTGAGGTATAGCCTTGAATTTTGTAAATCACTGAATAGATTTTGAGTTAGGACAGAATTTCTATCAAGTTCTGATATGGCCCTAAACATACTTCTGTCATTTTGTACTACAAATTTACATGAAGTAGAGTTCTTGGCACCAACAGTTACTCAACCAGAATATCAATGAACTCTGATAAACATTGAAGATGCTCTATGCTCTGTAGTATCAGATATACAGCTAAGATTTAAATCTTCTTGTCAAAATAAACAATCACATCACTAATATGCAAATTGGCTATCATTTCAGTAGGTGGAAAATCATATGTATATCAAAAGAACTGTTTTAAAATATTTAAAAATTTTTAATTTTTATTTATTTTATTTTTATTTATTTTTAATATTTATTTAAAAAACTGTTTTAAAAAATTTAAAAATAAATTTACAGTTTATTAGTGGTGAGTGTTCCATTTGCATGCCTCTTTAGATACTATAAGCCCTGGTCAGGTGATGGTATCTCAGGGAAAGGCACAAGGAGAAAATGCTTAAGAAGTCTGCCCTAGCCTAGGTTCTTCTGTGTGGGTAATTTTGACCCATGCAAGCCCCTGTTGGCGCTTCCCCAGGCTCCCTCCATTCCAGTCCTGTTCATTATGTGGCCTGAACCTGAGTGCTTACATGCTCTCAGACGGTAGATAAAGACGGTTCACCCATGGTAGACGCTTCTGCCATGACCGGTGGCACCTTGTCTGCATTTGTCCCTGGAGTGCTTTTGGCGTGAGTTCTCCTGAGCAGGTGCTGTTGTTGCGCTGGCTACTCCCGTTGAGGGACGCCCCGTGTATTGTAGGGTGATCGGCAGTCTCTCTGGCCTCTACCCAATCACATTAGGAGTAGCTCCCTCCCCTGAGCTGTGACCAGAAATGCCTCCAGACTTTGCCAAATGTCTCCTGGGGGACAGTGTCACCCTTGATTAGTGCCACTGACCTAGACTGAAGCACCCTCCCAGCGCAGGTATATTGGGGGGTCTTCGGCTCAGTTTCCTCCATGACTCTGAACTGTGCCACATGGCTCAGTCACAAAGGCAGTAAGCATGGCATGCATTCCAGGTGACACTGTGGGAGCCCTTCGATCCCCGTAGCAAGGATTTTGGACCCCTCTATCTTTTAAATGTCTATACAACAGTAGGATAGCCTGAGTGTGTACCCCATGCACCCTCAATACGCTGAGCAGTGAAGGACCGTCACACTATGGAGGCTTCTTTCTCACCTGCCTGCCATTCCCACAGCATCAACAGGACCAGCTCTTCTGAACGAGTGTCTCCAGGTGGCCGGAGGGAGAGCTCCGGGGACTCCAAAGGAAGTCGGAACCGCACGGGCTCGACCAGCAGTTCCTCCAGTGGCAAAAAGAACAATGAGAGGTAAGGGAGCCCTGCTAGCAATGCATTTCATCACCCAAGGGACGCCTCAGAAGAGTCCTCTTGACAAGTCCAGGCCCTGTCTGAGCTCCAGGCCTTCTGAGATTGCATTAACGGCAGTGTGTGTGTGTGTGTGTGTGTGTGTGTGTGTGTGTGTACGCAGCTGGTAATCACAGGTCACATCCAGAAAACCTATAACTCAGGCTTCTAGCTCCCACTGTCTGAGTTAATAATACTAATACCGAGGCTGGTATTAATAAAGCAGTGTCTGAGAAATTAGCCCACGAAGTGGATCTGAATTTCCAGGCGCAGTACCTCCCATCACCAATACACCTTCCCAAATGAATCTTGAAATTAATTTTGCTGGAGTATTTAAAGCTTGTCAGCAATGCTTTCTGAGAGGGACAGGTTGAAAGCTGGACTTTCTCACTCACTCAGGGGCTGTTTTTAATAGCGAGCCAACACCAGAATTACAAACCGTTTTCCACTCTGGTTTCCTGTTCTACATTACTCCTAACTTTGAAGCTGCTGTGAGTTTAGTTTACAACAGATTATGGTAAATGCTTGTGAAGCGCATAGTGGCATTTTACTCACAAAAACTACTTTTTGGCGTTTTAACAGCCTGTTTTAAGAATGTGTTGTCGGAGAGGTTCCCGTGCCTATCTGCCTAGTGTGGGCTTTGTTCTGGCCACACTCTGATTTTAGTTTCTCTGCTCTGGGAAGTCTGGGAAGGAGGCTGTTTTAGAGGTTGAGCTTGTTTCTTTTCAGATGTTCATGTAAGGAGACGGCCTCGTCAGAACACAGTCAGTTCCAAACCGCAGGCTGCAAAGCTTCCAAGTTTGAAACTATGTGGGGATTCAGTCTTGTAAGGGATGCTTAAACTCCACGTCAGTTTTAGCTCTGAAAAGGATCTTTGTAGAAGGAGTGGGAGGAAGAGGGGGAGAGAAGAAGATAATGAAGAAGAAAAAAAGATAAAGGGCTGGAGAGATGGCTCAGCAGTTAAGACCACTGGCTGTTCTTCCAGAGGACCCGGGTTCGATTCCCAGCCCCCATTTAACAGCTCCTAACAGCCTGTAACTCCATCCAGTTCCAGGAGCTCTGATACCCTCTACCTGGGTTCTACACACACATGGTGCACAGACACACATGCAGACAAAACACCCATCCATACACATAAAGTAGAACAATTTTAAAAAATACTGACACCCCTCTATACTGTATGATAAGTTCATAGTCCACTGACAATTTCAGAAACCATGGACTCATCTTCTCAGACTATTAGTACTTCTTAGGGAGAGATTATGCTAATCTCATGCTAACAGGGTGGTGAGACCTTGGCAGTGAGGCCAGGTGGCTGCAGAACATGCCCGCCAGAGGCTCTGGATGGAATTCAGGTTGAGTTTGGTGCTAATTTGAAATGTCTAGATTTTGGCAGCTTGTATGAACATCTGATTTTTATTAGGAATTTCCAGAAAGAATCTACATTGTGTAAACTCTAGACTTGTTTTATCCTTTAAATCCCATGGCTTTGGTTAATGTGCTGGGTAAATATTTCCATAAAAGATATTTACAAAGGGATTTTTTTGAGAAATGCCACAGGAAGGAATTTTGATTTAGAAATGAGAGAATGGGAATGTTTGCAAATCATTTTCTAAAAATAATCCTGGCCACTGAAAGTGTCCTCCTGAAGCCAACCCCTCCATCTCATTGGAATCAAGAGACTACCCAGACCATCATGCTGCCAGGAGGCTCAGAGAGGACACTTGGGGCCCCACTGGTACTGGAGGATACTTTGGGGCACCTGTTGGGCAGTAGGAGTGACAGGGTCCAGTTAGCAATGTGGGCATTGCCCGCCCCAGTTCCTCATTGCTCTCCCTCCATGAGCAGCTCCAGGCCTGGCCAGCTCCAGCCTCGCACCCCTGGCCCGGAGGCTTACCGAGGAACTCTCGGGTTCCAGGCTAGTACAGAGAAAAGCCTAGGAAGGGCCCGGTGAATTCTCCCCTGACTTCTGACTTTGTACGGTGAAGACAGGCTGGCTCTTCCCTTCACTGGGGCTCTGAGTTGCAGTGACTCACCTTAGGTAGCTGCCTCCCATCTGAAAAGATTTGCCTGTTCCGTTCCCGTAGGCAGTGAATGGGAAGTCCGTGGAAAGGCCTCGGCGCCTTCACTTGGGAGAGCCTTGGCTTTTCCTCTGTGGCTTTGAGACTTTGGCGCCTTATTCTTTTCGTTCTTACAAAGGTGCTAACTGGGAAGAAAACACCAGTGCTTGGTGCTCAGCAAAGGGTCATCTGTGCTGGGGCGGCAGAGCACAGGAAAAAAGCGCACGAGGCTTCCCCAACTCCTCAGCCGTCTCTTCCTCATGTGTAAGGTGAAAGTGATGGATGACTCTGAAGTGACCCATCTTTTCTTTGGCCTGACAGGCTTAATGACACCTGTATGAATGGTCCAGGCCATTGGACACAACCCAGATCTTGCCAAAAGCTAACCATGATTCTGGGAACGGATGGTCTACCCCGCGATCCTCCCAGCTGCCAGCCAGGCACCTGTCGTGTGCTGACTGCAGACGGGATGATTCTGGCTGGAGAAACTTTGATACTTTTTTCGCGGTGGCTGGAGGCCCTTCCCCTTCCTCTCAGGACGGCCTTTAGCACATAGGTAGAAATGAGCACACTGATGTCACCCAGAGAATTCTGGCTCCGCCCTAATGCGTGGACTCAAACCTCACACATCAGTAGCCGTAATGCTTTGTGTCACACTCCACGTGCAAAGCTGTCGTTGGTGTAAGGATGCCACGCGAGTGTCTCTATTCCTCAACAACAGTGAAAGCAACTCGAGGGCTATTCTGTGTGTGTTGTGCAACTCTTCGCTCTTGAGCAGAGAACAAGTGTCCGGCAAGTCCCGGGCATTCCTTGAATGTAGTAGCTTCCTCTAAAACAGGTGTGCTTTTCTTTTATTTAGAGCTGTATTCTCCATCAGACTTTCTGTATTTTTGCTCCCATATCACATCTTCTTTAAGAGTGATCGCTGGAGGTGACCGTCTTACTTGTGACTTGGTATAATCCTCACCTCCCGTCTTAGAATGTTTAACATGTAAAAGTACTTTGCTTCTAACCCGCCTCAGGATTGGAACAGCGTTTAATCTCTGCTCTGACAACGCTTCCATTAGAGACAAAAGCAATGTAGGGCAATGTAATATTTTACTTTATGTAATATTCATGGCAAATGAATATTAATAATTACATAATGAGTCTTGTCACACAAAGTACTTATTAAATTTAAATAGGGAGTCAGCAATAACATTCTGAGAGAAGAAGGTGATGTAGCCAGTACACTAATCCACTAAGGAATTTTTTAACTTAAAAAAAAATTTTAATTCAGAGAAATGACTGCTTATTCATAAGTTTATAAGTACAGTTTACATTAGATGTAGCTGGACTGACAAAGTGTTTCAGTTATAGCCATTGGTAGAGATGTGTCAACTTCATAAATAAGATACTATGTTTCTATCTACAACCTGCTGCCATGGGCTGCTTTTGTAGGGTAAGAAAACTTGGTTGTCACGTACATATGCACTGCCCGTCTTTGGAGTCAACCAATTGAAGGAAAACGGAGTATCCTCAGGCCAATGCCTGTTCCGCTGTACAGCCTGAACCGTGGCAGGCAGCCCTGCTGCCTTATGGGCTGGGGAGGTCAACTGTGCTGGGCTTTCCTCCTCTGAGAGCTCTATGGGCCGTGACTTTGTCCTCTGGCCGCACCCTCCAGGTCCTAAAGGCTCAGTTGTTTCGCTTCTACATTGCCACCCTAGTGGTGACCTTCATGCTCAGCCTGGGTCAAGGTCCTTCATCTGGCCCCTCATCCTCTTCTGGGCCCTGACATCACACCTCCCCAACACACCTCTTATGCCCAGCAGGTTATTATTTTTCCTTCTCCTTTAGAGTTTATCACTCAAGTTACTTGAAAATCCCAAAAGAAGACTTGAAAGTCTCCTAAACTGTCAGCAGTGACTCAGGACTCACGGGACACTTTGCACATTCCCAACCAGCTCTTCTTTCTAGGGCACCGTGCAGGCGGTGTGGTTAATTTTGACATCACTGGCCCTCTTCGTTTTGCTCTATAAGCACAGTCCTGTGTCAGCAGACAGACTCATTTCAGATGTGGGTCCCCACACACCCAGCCAAGTACACAGGGTACTCTGCACAGTTAGGTAGTAACAAGGTTTTCTTTATCACACACACACACACACACACACACACACACACACACACACACACACACAATGTATAGTCGACGTGAGTTGAAATGCTTCAGAAGAGGTTTGCCTTTCCACAGGCTCTCCTCTCCAGCACAGTGGAAGGATTTCCTTAGAACAATGAAATGCTATTTTGAATAACCTGAACACCCCTACCAGGCAGCTATGTAAGTACTGTATATGTTGGGGACTTTCAAAACAAAAAACCAGGGTTTTGCCCATGTGGTCTTACCTCTGGTGCATGGAGGGTTGGAGAGGTGTGACAGTGTTCGCACAGACTTCAGCTCACCCCTCAGGGCTCAGCTGATGAGCCCCTTCTTTAGCCCCCATCTGAGGTAGATGTTTTGCAGAAAGACTGTGTCTGTGGCTGAGGGTCTGTTACCCTCCTCTGTGCCCCCCTCCATTCCCACCCATGACCTCCCTTGGGCTCCAGAAGGGCAGAGACATTGTCCTTTCTCAGTCTCTGACTCTGCAGCACTTTCCAAAGTGCAGGGGACACAAAAACTGCCCAGTAAGCCGTCCTAAGATGAATGAAATTACATAAAACAGAGACTCATTTAAGAAGCTGGTAAAGAGCGCCACCTAGAGGTCAACCATTGATACCACGCTTTAGCCTTAGGGTTGTGTTTCGTGTTTTGGTCCCTTAAAGGATCATTTCACCCTTCAAGCCCTGGAGACGTTTACCTCTTAACGAGGTTTAAAATAACCGATGCTGACTTTCCTTAGTTGTTTGGGTTTTTGTGACTGTCAGCAG